TATGGCAAACTATGCTGACTACCTCGCACATTTCAATTACGATGTGAGGTATAAGCCTACAGAATTTAACGCCAATGCCGACTATTGCTCCCGTGCACCATTACCAGCGCCAGTCAACAGTATTCGATCATGTAGCACACGTCGTGTGGGCGGAGAAGAGGACGAATTTGATGAATTCGACCATTTCATCATAAGCCAAATACAGCAACTTCCGATTCGTGCAGAGAATATCGCTCGAGAAACAGCAAAAGACCCTCATCTTGGGAACATTGTTCGTTTACTGGAATCAGGACAGAGCCTCGCACGTGCCGGGTACAAACCACCTGAGCAAGAATACAAACTAGTTTCAAACTGTTTAGTTTTCGAACATAGAGTCATTATCCCATCTAAATTTCGTCAAGCGGTCCTAAATGATTTACACACCGCACATTTAGGCATAGTGAAGATGAAAGGATTGGCGCGGTCTTTTGTTTACTGGCCTGGTATCGATACAGACATCGAGGGCATCGCAAAATCTTGCAATGATTGCGCCAAACACGCACATGCACCGCCGAAATTTCGTGAGCACCATTGGGAGTACCCAAACGGACCCTGGGAGCGCGTCCATATCGATTATGCAGGACCCTTTGCTGGAAAAATGCTCCGCATCGTTTCTGACGCGTACAGCAAATGGCTCGATGTGAAAATCACGAACACCACAACAACGGCCGCTACGATAGCGATCCTTGATGATTTATTCACGTCTTACGGAGTACCAATGATTATCGTCTCTGACAATGGTCCCCAGTTCACCTCCATGGAATTCAGAGAATTCCTACAACACATCGGAGTGAAGCACCACAAATTTACAGCTCCCTATCATCCATCGACCAACGGACAAGCAGAAAGAAGCGTACAAACCGTGAAAAATCACCTCAAAATTATGGCCACGACACCTGGCTCTCTGCAGCGTAACTTGAACGAGTTTTTGCGACAGTACCGAAAAGCCCCGCACTCAACTACCGGACAATCCCCAGCACAGCTCTTTCTTGGGCGTTCTCTCCGCACTCGCTTGGATCTGCTCAAACCTGAAAACCTATATACGAGGATCACCGAGAAACAACGAGCAAATTTTGAATCTTCTTTCCGGTCTTTCTACCCAGCGCAAGCAGTATATTTCCTCTCCGGAAATCCACGCATGGACAAATGGGTCCCTGGCACCATTATTTCACGCCTGGGTGATCTTCACTACGATATTGAGTTTTTGGGTAAACGCTTCAAACGACACGTTGACCAAATTCGAAAACACCAAGAAATCGATTCCTTTTTGCAACCATGTGACGATCATACTCGTCTATCAGAAACACCCAGTTCCGAGCAGCCACCGCACAAACGACGGGCTCACTTTTATGGAACGAGTTCGAATCCTCCAGAGATTACTCCAGAGATAACAGCTCCTGAATCAAAAACAATGCCGCCGGCGCTGGCTGGACCTGAGGCACTATCGCCTGCACCATTAATGCAAAACTCGCCTCCACTCCGGCACATAGCACCAGCGAACTCGCCACGAAAATCTTCACGTGTTAGTAGGCCACCGCTACGGTTTTCTCCGAGCTGAAAACTAGATTGAGCTGTTACGGGGGAAGAAATGTTGTGTTCTTTAGGTCTTCTCTTTATAGTTTGATATGATCATACTGTATTCATCAATGGTGTGACGTTTTTGAATGTCACTTGTATTGACATTATTATTCATGTTGACATTGTTTTACATGGAGAGTTATCATATTATGTTGAATTACAATAAAGATATTTAAAAATTCATTCCATACATTCATTGACCAACAATTAGGAAACACGCCATTTTATCTTGAATATTTCGAAAACGGCTCCTTGGAAATCAAGAAACTTTAAAATTCTAGTGTCAGAATTGTATGATTGTATTACATGAGCCTTATTCCCTATTCAAATTATCGAGGCGGTTGCTCTAGGAAGTAGAGGGTTGGAGTACGTATTAGTAGGGGGCCCCGGAATCCAGTCCAGCCCCACCCCTCCACTTTTCCCCAAACCACGTCACTTGGCTAGCCAATCACAGGCCGGCTTGACTCGGCTGGATACTCGGGGCCCCGCAAACGGCGCGAAATTCAAATTGCCTCAGGACACCATCGTCGATCAAATTGAAAAAAGCTGCTTGGGGATCGAACTCGGGACCTTTGCATTATAGGGCAACACATTCACGCACTGTGGTATGCATGCGTCCATGAAAATTCAAACATGATGATATTATTCAAACAGGATAGACGATGGAAATTATTATTGAAGTAGAGACGCCAGCAATAAAAGCTACGGTGTCGACATGTTTCGTTAATTTTTTGAGAAATCATTTTTCTGTTACCGAGGGTGGATAGTCTTGAATGGACTGTGCGGTATAGCCACCCGTATCAATAGCTTCCCTCGATTTGTATATCGAGATTTCGATATTATATTGTTATCACTATTGTTATTCACGAAGCAGAGAGTAAAATTTGCATTCTTTCGAAATAACTGTTGGAGGTTGTTTTCATAGGTAAGTAATCTTCATCTTACATATTTGAAATTTAAAGTGTTTAGACATTCGATGTCCTGGCTGAGGACTCGGTCGACAAATTCACGTGGGGTAACCAAAATACTTGTCACAACTCATATCGAAAATATCTGTGTATTTATGCCGGTGAATACATTTTCGTTTTAGTCAAAAACAATGTCGTATCAAGAATAAACAGCCTATCCTTGCCTCCCGCGCTGCGTCAATTCAATTATCCTCATTATTCACGCTTTGATGCATACATAAAGCAGCTAGTATTTCAGGCCTCAGCTTCATGCCACAACATATATATGCAAATCTACAGTTCAGCTCGCCTTTTCCAGCCCTTCGGCGATTTTCCTAAGTTTATTGAGGTTGATAGTGCGCAAGGATTCCAGTCGAAACAATTATTGATAATGTTGTTAACTTCATGGTCTGCTGCTTCCATAATATATTCTAATTACAAGAAAATTCATAAGGTCGATATGAAGGTACATACTAGATGACGCCTGATAGATGTACCAGACAAAACATGATACCCAGGAAGTGTTGTACCTACCTGATGGAAAATGCAAAATGACAAAAGCCAGTACATAGAGCTCCAATATCATATGACATATATCCGCCATACTGAAAATACGACCATACGAGCGCGCTACTGAGATATTTCACACTTTGAATATAGCAGTCTTATCAATCAATTGACTTCAAATTGCTTTATTACTGCTGATTAATTGTTTAAGAAGTGGGGCTTTTGAATTTATTTTCTTGCGTTGATAATGCGAAGCTATGACGAAACTGAGGAAACATATTTATGCTCTTTTGTTGCTCTTCAATTTGAAGTCTTCGATTTTCTGATCCAACGTTTCTTCTTCGAGCAACCATCATCAACTTAATTTGTTCAAATATGGCCCTGGTAACCAGATATCAGATTCGAATATCTTTTTCCATTTTGATTTCCCGACGATATGCTACATATTGTGTTTTCGAGGCATTTCGAGCTCATTTTTGGCCATCATCAACTATAATTCTTGGAGTACGGACCTGAATATTCCATAATTCTGTGATGAAAGGTTTATTCATCAAATTGAACATTCAAAATTGCTACATCAACATCAATACGCACTTTGGAATTCGTGAATGATAAAAAATTCAATAAAAAGGGCTGAAAGACTTCGGTCAATGGCCTTTTGGGGTATATCCCTAATGAAGATGTTCTCTCTCTCTCAATAAAAAAGAAATCTGACGAATTCATAACAGATGTTCGAAAATATTGCCATTGCTTTCTAAGCATGCATAACATCTCGTTACTTTAGATTCAAAATATTATACATCATTTCTGGCGTTCCGGAGTATGTGCTAATCACTCTTCATCTGAATCTGAGTGAGAGATAAGTTCTAACAGCTCTTGGAGTTATGTGCAGGTCCGAATTGTCTAGGGCTTTCTTTATATCATTTAAGAGTGAATTCAAATAAGTCTTTCACAGAATTATGGGAAATTCAGGTCTGAATGCCGAAATTACTTGATGATGACTAAAATGAGACCGAAACGCGTCAAAACTACAATATGAAGCATATAGTCGAAATTAGAAAGGAAAGGGTTATTCGAATATGATATCAAAATATCAGAGTAGTATTTCGAAAAATGAAATTGATGATGGTTATTCGAAGACGAAACGTTCCATCAGAAAATCGGGGATTGAAAGAATCGAAAGCTGACAGGAAGAAGTTCCTTCAGTTTTGTCATAAGTTCATTATCAATACCAGATAAAATAAAATGTGAAATTCAGACATTCAGGTTTTTGGAAATAACTCAAAAATAAAGAGTCATATCAGAGATTTTCGAAGGTCACATTACGGCTAGATCAGAGTAAGATCTATCAGTACGATTTCATTCGATTGGTTTTTATCCGATATAGTCCAGTTCCCAGAGACCAAAAAAGGTGTACATCTTGCAAAAGGTGAGGTAGATGATTTTACTTTTTCAATTCGTTTCAATGAGTATGAAGAGTAAAATATGAAGAATGTGACTAAATCTGGGCTCGGCCCAAATTTTGGTAGCCGCAAAAACCTCGAAGTTTTCGAAAATTTTCGTTTTTTCCGCAATATGTCGAAAAGGAGTGGTTCTAGCGAAAAACAGTCGTTATACAAAGTTGTATAGGTAGCATTAAATCCCCTACAAATTTATTGCGAAATTTTTTCTTTTACAACCAATAGGGAGTGAGCTACAGCATCTCAAAAATGGACCATTTTTCTCAAAATGGTAAAAAAGCCAAGTAACGTAGCCAAGTAAGTAGAATGATCTATAACTTTTCTGTGAGCCCCCATCACCAAATTAATCACCAACTAAAGGAATAAAGGAGACAAGAAAGTGAGAAAACATGTGTTTGGAAAAAACGTTTTGACGGTCCTGGTTCCTCACGAACAGGTGCCATGATGGGTGGATCCTGTGTCCGGTTCGGAGGAGTACAGTGGGACATTGTCGGTGCCTCTTCATTTCTTGCAGATGCTGGAGCATGTATGTATAAGTGTGTGTGTGTGGGCGGTCCGGGACCTGACGCACTTAGGCCTCCCTTTTCGGGCCCATTGTGCACCCACATTCCTGGGATCGCAAGTCAGCCATTGAGAAGGCCGATCTCGCGAGCAAAAGGGACCAACTTTCTAGGCCAAATCTTTTTAACATCCTCTGGGTCCAGGATACTGCTCCCAAAATGGATATCCCTTGCTGCCACTATTGCCGGGCATTCAGTGAGGATGTGAGTAGAAGTCTCTTCATCCTCTAGGCACCATCTGCATTCAGGATCCTCCACAATCCCGATCATGCTGAGATGTTTGTTCAGGTGGCAGTGCCCTGTCAGAAGGCCCACCACCAGTTTCAGCTACTTCCTGTTCAAAGCCAAGAGGGCATTGGTCTGTCTTCGTGACGGGTTTCCTATATGGAGTTTGGACTGCCTCATTCGAGGAGCCTTTCTCCAGCTGTCCTGAAACCTTTCCGTCAGGATTTTCTTCATCTTGAAGTTGCTCCAGGATCGAGTGACCCCTAAGATTGGCTCTGGGCCAATCACTGAACCCTTCGCCCCCATTCTGGCCAGACCATCGGCCATTTCGTTACCTGGTACCCCTGAGTGTCCAGGGACCCACAAAAGACATACTTTGTTCGTTGCTGATAGCCTTTGTAGGCTATCTATGCACTCTGACACCATGCTGGAGCATTTCAACTCGGCTTTGACGAACGAGCAGGCTCGCTGACATCCGCAGATCTGCAAGTGCACGAGACACTTCCAAGTAGGCTTTTGGGTGCTGGGTCCTTCGTTGCATGATGTGGAATCAGGCCCTGTAGACTGCTGGTCCACCCATAATGTTTGGGGTTCAAGTGTGTGGCATCCAGCCAAACTTGAATTTGATGAAACGATCTTAGTGAGTGTAGAGCGGCAGCATTAGGGTGGCAACCGAGCAAGATTAACTTTTCCTGCAGGCACGGACGTTTAAATGAGATCTTATCGCATGTCGTCCAAGGTTGCGAGTTCAGTGAACGTCCTCTGTTGGTACAATGCCTTGAACACAAGCTCTCCAGCTTCAATAATCGCTCCATTTGAGCTCTGCTCATCCAAGAACACATTCAACGCATGCTTCATTTCTCCGAAAGATTTTTCCAGAACACTACACAGCTTCACTTTTCCATGGCCAAATATGGAAGATGTAGCATCTCACCCGCTCGAAGCATGGCTGATGAGGATGTATCGTGGACTGAATTTGTATGATACTGTTGAGTAGCATACATCATTTGCACCACCTCTCCCAGGCTTCAGGAAGAATGCATTCGGTAGGAGAGGCTTGTGTCCCTTCCCACTCTACACATGTCACATCACCCTACAAACTGTCTGGAGAACCTTATCGATAGTGGTGCCCGCGAGAGTTTCGTTTTCGAGAGTCTCGCATGGTCTCGTCTCGTTTTCGAGACAAGACTCGAGACGAGACTCGGACAACACGAGACGAGACTTTTATTGGTCTCGTCTCGAGTCTCGTGCGAGACTTCTCGTGTCTCGTGCGAGAGTCTCGCAAGTAAATATTTCTGCGTGTCGACTGCAGACTTGAGAATTTCATTCATAAAACAATATTATTTCGAAATAATTCAGAGTATTCAGACTATTTAGCACATATAGACAGAACATTTCATTCATAAATACTTTAAAAACACAATTCATGATTGTTGTAAAACGTCGTCGTAATCGAGGTCGTAATGCGTGTAAAAAAAAACGGACTATTCTCTCTCTTTACGGCGACGAAATATAAAGGCAATTCTGCAATATCGACAAATTGCAAATTGAATGACTACCTGAGAATCAATGAATAAGTCATTCTGTGCTAAATAGTCTAAGATTAACTTCATGTCTTAACGACTGGGTAAGAAACAAAAACATTTGCGATCGTCAAGACTAATCTCTGCTATCATCCCTTCACTAGCAATACCCGTCAGACGAACTAGACAAGCTCAGTCAACACATCCTTTCGTAGTCAACCTCGAAAGATGTCGAATAGCACTTTATTAAAACTCCTTCATCCATAGAACGGCTAGGCTCTGGAATTCATAGCCTGAGGAAGTATTCCCAACAACATATAATCTCCAGAAGTTCAAAAAAAAAATCAATACCTACGTCCTGTCCCTATCCTCCCTAGGAACGCACGTTGTTCTCTGAACATTATAGGGCTTCCCTTTCGTGCGCTCCAAGCGATAAAAAAAATAAGTAAAATGATGTTGGATTCAAGTTTTTGTTCTGTTTATCTTTTTAGAATATACGTGTTACTTTTTATTTTATTTTCATAACTTTCGAATATATAATGCTATGTTTTTTTTCTCGCTTAGATGTATGATGTAAGTATGTACCTATTAGGTACTTACTTTTATTTAAATAATGGTATTTTTGTTGTAATTTTCTCTTCCTACTTCTACATTATACCTGAAAAATAGGTAAAGGTAAATACATCCCGTACTAGACTGGAATAAGATTATGCATGACGAAATTGCGATACTTTTGCGAGACTCTCATACGAGACGCGAGACAAGACGAGACTCGTGACTGCGAGACGAGACTCGAGACAAGACTTCATATTTCATCGGCGAGACGAGACGAGACTTTATGAAAGTCTCGTCTCGTTGGTCTCGTGTGAATCACTACTTATCGAACCACAATATAATATAAATCGAAAATACAACCGAAGAATGCATGGGCCGACTCACCCAAAAGAAGGCGTTACTTGGCTTTTTTACCATTTTGAGAAAAATGGTCCATCTTTGGAATGCTGTAGCTCGCTCCCTATTGGCCTTAGAAGAAAAAATCATCGATAAAATTTGTAGAGAATTCAATGCTCTATAACTTTGTATGAGAACTATTTTTCGCTAGAACTACTCCTTTTCGACATATTACGATAAATCCGAAAAATGTCGGCACCAAAAGTTGTCCGAGCCCAGATTCAGTCAGATCTTTTATATTATACTCTTTATACTCATTGAAACGAGATAAAACAATAAAATCTTCTACCCCACCCATAAGATGAAATCCTCTGGGAACTGGACTATTATATTTCTGGAGCAGATCACTGATCCCCAACGTGACGAACGTGTCCAGTACCTTGTATACCTCTCAGCTATAATTCACCGTTGGATTCCTAGATTATTAACTGGGGCTTGCAACATTGTTGGTTTAATAGACAGGAAATTTGGTGCGTTGGCAAACTTAATGTTTGCGCCTTCGGCGTCCTCAGCTATATATGATATATATGATATTCAAAAGCCCCCGACTAGTCTGATGCAATATCTTATTTGAGGGCAGTAGCGGCCTACAAGAATGCACTTGGCCACATGCTTCACCCGAAAGTTGAATAAAATTTTTCCATCAACTTGATATTAACAAGTTTGATTACCTAATGAACACGAGATCGATCGAAAAGAAATATTCTCAGATATATTTATGAACACGAAAAAATGGATATATGAATAAAGAAATACATTGAGAATTCGCATTCTCCATGTGATGAAAATATTAATTCTTTCTCGCTTTATTCAACAGAAAACAACTACTCTCTTCGCTATATGCCACGACGAATATTGAATTACATCTATTGATCACATACGATAAGAATTTATTGAGAACAAATCTTCTGAAGTAGAGAATTTGCATTCTCCTTCATATGAAGATATGCATATAATATCATTCTGAATATTCAACAGAAAACAACTACTGTCAGTAGGTTAATCGAGGAGGTGGTACATTAACATTCATTATTCCAAATTTTTTGGGATTTTCTCTCCTCGTTTCTATAAAATAAAAATATGAATATTATTTCAATATACGTGTGGTAAGGACAAATCAGATGATTTGCCCCAAAATGTCACTGCGTTTAAAGAATTTTCCTATCAGAGAGCCTAAAAGAAAAAGTCACTAGCTTGTCAGTGACAATTTGTATTGGAAACATTTTTGAAGAAGAGAAATAAAGGTATATAGAAAACATATAAAATTTTCACTCCTCTTTGGACGTTTCGGGACCGATTCTGCTCCCGTTTTCAACATGAGAAGAGATTATTTCGATAGCGAAGTCGTATAATATGTCTTGAGGCTTCTCAGTTTTCAATGACAATTGGTGACGTTGGCAATCAAATGAGTTACAGGATGTTTCCATTAATTAATCTTGAATTTACCATTCTCATGTTCAGATTTTAGTAGTGAATACCATGTTCTGTCTATATCAACTGAACAAGAAGCAATGCTATTGTCTCCGTTCAGAAGAATGCAAGCAGATTCCTTGATTTTTCTCTTCTGGTTATCTTCTTTTCCAATGATTTTAATATTATTCCACTCTGCCATATGTTATCCGTCTTCAGTAAGGATATGTTCAGCTAGTTTCGATTTATCGATGATTCTTTTCTTTATATTGTACTTATGTTCCTTCGTAAGAAAGGAATGGATATTCCTCGAATACGCATAACATATCTTGTTCGGAGGACATGGGATATCCATGGCATATGCTAATATTCCAATAACGCATTATCCATAGGATATTCTTGGAATATGATTGTGCCGTCTGGGAATACTATAAAATGAGTTGGATTTGTTCAGTTCATGGTCTCAGAAGTATTGACGTTCTGCCACTAATTCGGATCAATTTGAATTATGGCATGTTTGGGTATTGGTGGAGTTTTGATATCTACCAATCTATCATTCAATTGGTATTGCGCTATTCCACGCGAATTACCTCACAAAAATGTGCAATTTTTCAAACATGTCCGTTGCTGTTGTACCTGTTACCAGTATCTAGTTGAAATAACAAATGTTGAGTGTAATCGTTTTTGTTCGCCGGTTAGTTTCGCAGGACATGGTATATTAATTTCTGAATTATGAGTAGAGATCAATTGATGAAAACATCCTGTAGCATGTTTTTCTCTGTCGAATTTTGTCTCGCGGAGAATAATGAAATTTATAATATATGTTATGAACAGGAGCAGATTCGTAACTAAAATGCCAACAGTATGATGGTTTTATCATCTCAGTTCATGACCATAATATGTGAAGTTCGAGGCACTCTATAGTAAGTCATCGATTAATCAATGGACTATTGAACTGCCGACTATGTCGTGTATCTGATGTGTTGTTCTGTGATTCGTTGTCTTCGTAATATGTTATAAGGCTCGTGTCTCTGAGATCCAGACAGAAGCAGGTATACTAGTTTTAAAGATGCAACGAGAGAACAAATCTCAATTGTGGGAGATCAATTACTACTTCATGAGAGCATAAGAGAAGTCTTATCATGCTGGCATGATTTGTCCGAGTTCGTTCCATTACGATAATTAGAACATACCTACTAGACTTTTCTCGTCGATTGCTGGGTAAATGAAAATAAAACGATGTATTCTGACTTGTCCATAGCTGGTTTGGAGGTCGTCAAACGGTAAAACATCTCTGAATGAATTGAAGCATAGTAAGTAATATGATCCTGAAGAAAATCGAAAATTCCTTGTTGACATCTTGCTTGCATGATCATTATAATAGAGGCTACGCCCTACGCTGCGTTCCAGATTACGGTTGATTATGATTATTTGTGATACAGTGGGAACAGTGGGAACACTGAGCATACAACTGGTTGATTAAGGTAATGAATATAAGCCCCTCAATACAAATTCACATGATTGATGATGAAAGTTTTCTAAAAAGACGCAATTTATGGAAGTTCGAAAAAGTTCTCGCGAAAGTGTTCATGGTGTCTAATGAACTGATAATTCTTCTGCAGTATACCAGAATGTTTCATTGAAAAAGGGGCATACATTCACATACAAAACCATACCCCAGTCCATTCTATGAGGGGTTCGACGAAAATAACCGCCAAATTTATTTTCTTCCTTCCACTACACTAAAATCTACAACTATTGTAATAATACTGAAGTACGCCTTGTTAAAATCACCAGCAGCAGCAATAGCAATATATCAAGTGAAAGATATCAGATGACCACTGATAATTCTTACTCCAATCCTATTTCAGTATGAATATATGAATGGAAAGTTGGAAATGGCTTACAAAATAAAGATATAAAATGACAGAGCAATTTTCAGTCAAAAATTGATTCATCATTACCCATCAAACTTGATCGTCACTAATCTGTTGCTTTCATTAACTGTCATTAAGTTCATTTTTATGTGATTTTTATTTGAGGACTATGATATTTTCAATTTTAAACTCTTCTTCTTGATCAAAACATAGTCCTCAGCGTACTTAGCCAGATGAAAATATTTTTGTAATAACATTCAGTGATCACATGATTACAATAAGAA